GCAGTTACAAGTGACTCCGTCTACCTCAGTGTCCTCCTGCACTCTGCAAGTCCTGGGAAAGCAGAAATGGAAGGCTCAAGGGTGTAAGTGTTGTGAAAGGTGCAGGAGAAGCTTAGTCCTGCCCACTAATTACATAGCCATGAGGATCACAGCTGCTGGCAACGTGCCTTAGTGGCAGAGCACTTGCCCAGCACTCACAAGACCCTGGGTTTGATTCCCAGCACAGTTACAAATCTATCCTGGTGCTCCACTATCTGGCTTGGATGAGGATCATCTAACAACTACAGAACTTCAAAAGCTCCTGGACAAGGAGCCCTTGCTCCCACCCTTTTCCTTGAACTTATTCCTTAAGACCCAGATGAAAGCCAGGGCTAAAAGTCTTGAGTTTAGCCACAAAACAAAGGATGAGGAATCTTGCTAACATGGGGTAACTCTTTGCACCGTTCTAGTTGGCTGACATGTACAGAGGCCATGCTAAGGGTGGCAATCCCAGCCCCTCCCTTCCTGGATTTTCTTTCACTGTTCATGAGGCTTGAGCCAACTTGACTGTGAGTGTCAAGTGGGCACATGTATTTACTCCATCCCCAAACTCATGAAAAGCCCCCAGGAAACCAAATAGAGACGGGCATGGACACTCTAGACTTCAGGGTTCAAGTGGGACTGTAAGAAACTAGCATGCTTGGTGGCGACTACAGTCTGCAAAGGGTAGTGTGCCTTTTCTATTAGGAAAATTGATTTCACAAAGCTTTATCCCAAGTGTGGTGACGGTCTTGTAATCCCAGCACTCATGAGGTACAGGCAGAGGCAGGAGGATGTTGAGTTTGGGGCCAGCCTGAGCTACACAGACCCTGTCTCACATAACAAAAATAACCTTTTAGAAATTCTCAAGAGCCAGGTGTTGCCAACAGCCTTAATTCCAGCATTCAGGAAACAGAGGCAGGTGAATCCCTGTGATTTTTGAGGCCAGCCTGGTCTATGTAGTGAGTTCCAGGACAGCAGGATTACATAGAGAGACCCTGCCTCAAAAAAGTAAAATAGTAGCAACAATAATAATACTAATAAAACAAAATTCTGAAGCAAGTAAAATTCTCTGTGTATGTGCCGTGCTTGTATAACATAGGGCTATAAGTGAAGCAGACAGCCAGATGTAGTTTCAGGGTCTTGAAGATGCTGCCAACTTTTCAGTGGATCCTGAGATTGGGAAAATAGTCTCATTGCACCCAATTATTACTATTAAGTTGTAATTAGAAAATAGCAGAGGCCGGCCAGGAGTTGGTGGCACATTCCTTAAATCCCAGCACTCGGGAGGCAGAGGCAGGCGGATCTCTGTGAGTTGGAGGCCAGCCTGGTCTCCAGAGCAAGTGCCAGGATAGGCTCCAAAACTGCACAGAGAAACCCTGTCTCGAAAAACAAAAACAAAACAAAACAAAACAAAAAAAGAAAAGAAAATAGCAGAGGCCAAACCTAGTGGTACATGCCTGTGATTCCAGCACTTGGGAGGCTGAGGCAGGAGGATCAGATAGATGTTCAAGGTTTGCCTGTCTCACAACACAATCAAAGTAGTAGGAGCAGAATGAAATGAGGGCTTTAGGAAAGCAAACTTGTGAAACAACCAACTAAAGTTGATATCATGTGAATAATGTAAGCCCTTCCATGCTGTGGCTCGTTTATGAAACCATAGAGATTAACAATTTATAGACTAATATAATACAGAAAAGACAGGCTGGGTAGTGGTGGCACACACCTTTAATCCCAGCACTTGGGAGGCAGAGGCAGTTGAATCTGGGATTTGAGGCTGACTTGGTCTACAGAGCAAGTTCCAGAACAGTCAAAGCTACACAGAGAAATACTGTCTGGGGAAAAAAAAACAAACAAAAAAACAAAAAAACAAAACCCACAACAAACACCACCCTCAAAAAAACAAAACAAAAACAGAAAAGCAACTCATGCAATTGGTAAGAAACAATGAAACTTCCTTTTTGTTTGATTTGGTTTTGAGGTCTTAGGGAAGAAACATGTATCTATCAAGTACTGTGTCACTGGGCTCCAAAGCCCAAAGTTCGGAGGGCATCAAATTCAGAACTGCTCACTCTTATAGTTGTATCAGCTTGGAGTTCTGTTTGCATTCCTTTGCTGGAGGTGGACTCCTTTATGCGTGGGTGGTAACGTCTGTGCACCCCTAGGAGAGTGGAATGTTCTCATTGGTGTGATTGTCACAGTTTTAGGAAGTGAACGTAATTTACCACATTCCTTTTTAAAGACACAGATAAATAAGCTAATATAACATTTATTCTGTATTAGTCAGTACATCAATTAATTCATCTTGAAAACCTTTTCTCTACAGAGTATTGTTTCTTTAATATGACCCTCTGATTCACAGGAATACTAATTTTAAGGAGAATACAAATTGGTACTCTTATTTTATAATGGCTCATTCACTTAACATTTCTACAGGCAAAGAACTGCCATGTGTGGCATTATTCCGGCCTTTCTCCTGTGCCTGATTACAAATCAGAATGCCACTGTATTCAGGTCCCAGCTCTCCCATTCCAGACAAAACCACTCTTTCTACTTCCCTGTTTTAGCATTTATCTTTTTGCATTGTCTGTGGCTCTGCTTTTCCCTGTCCTGGCTTCTGTTGCCACTTTCTTCCCCTCAACACACACACACACACACCCTGCTCAGGATGAGCTGTGGGAGGTCCTAGTATCAGGATATAGACAGGCGGTAAGCCTAATACATATTGGATCTAACTTAATCGGGGCACATACTTTATGTAGATTCATTCTAACAAATTTTTGTCATCAAGGATCATTACAAAAAAAAATCCTTTAAAAATGTGCAATAAAATGCAGTATGGATTGAAAATTTCAATTCCATATAAGAAACTGTTACAAAGTAAGACAGGTACTCGAACCTAACCTAAAGAACTCTACAACTTACATGAAGTTATTTTTAAAAAAATGCAAAAATGGCAGGCAGAATAGTCAAATCCTGGCACAGTTAGTATTAAACTAGAAAGCAGAATACTTACTCAGTAAAGCCAACAGAGGGATCTTTTCAAACACGGGGTTTGAAAGTCTAACAGTTGTTTTAAAAATCCTGCCACAACCCCTTAAAAAATTCTCAACTATAAAAAATAAGGCAAATTGAAGTTAGACTTTTGCAGATGAAATGGACTCTGGGCTACATGTACAGGCAAGGCTGGCCCAGGGTCTTCTCACAGGCCACCCATCATCTCTCAGAAATAAAGCTGTGTCTAAGACTCCACTAAGTAGTAGACCAATTAAGATCATCGTGATCTTCGTACTGTCAAACCCATTGCCTTGGAGGAAAATTATGCAGGCACCTTCTCTGAAGCTCCATTTGTGCCACGTGCTTATTATTCGTGGAGGTGGAGGAGGTGGCAAGAACATGATTCCTGTTGGAAAGTTCTTTTGTTTTCTGCTACCTTTACTTAAATGCTACCAGGTACTATTTTTAATATCCTAAAAAGTTCTTTGAAAAAATGTTAATAGTCACACACACACACACACACACACACACACACACACACTAGAGACAAGTGCTTATATTCTCTGTGTTGTAAGAACTGAGTGAACAATACTTGGCTCTTAAGAGAATATATTGAAAAATTATCAAGTATCTGATAGACCCCCCCCCAGCCTTCGAAAGTTCCAAGTTCAAAAAGAAACCCAATATTAGCTGATAATGTTCATTAAAGGCAAGTTTCAATTAAAATTAATGTGAGTGACTAATGATGCCTTTAAACTGGTCAGTTTAAGCCCAAAAGAGTATAAATTGAATAAGAACCTTCATATTTTGCATGGAAGGTCAAACTGCTTGAAATATATCCTATCATAATAAAATATGGTGGGATGGAGAGATGGCTCAGAGGTTAAGAGTGCTGACTGCTGTTCCAGAGGTCCTGAGTTCAATTCCCAGCAACCACATGATGCCCTCTTCTGGTGTGCAGATATACATGGAAGCAGAATGTTGGATACATAATAAAGAAATAAATCTTAAAAAAATAAAAAATAATAAAATATGGTAATTTCCAAGCCATCCCTCTGGTTCCTGCTTATTTTTGTAACAATAGAACAGTTTGGATCATCCTAAATTTCCCTATGATTTGGCCATTTAGCAGATATATCAGATTGCAACCCACTGGTGAATTTCTGTATTCTATTTCCAGATGGAAACTCTATTTAAGTCCCTAGGGAAGTCAGAGAAACCAATTAAGAATGAACAAGAATATATTTTCTTGTAAAAACAACCAATTGTAATACATTCTAACCAAAGGTGTATTTATAGGGAACACACACACACACACACACACACACACACACACACACCCCAAAACTTGAAATTTGGGCCTACCTTCTTACCTCCAAAATTACATATTCCCTTTGTGTCTGTTTTTCAAAATCCCCCAATCCAAAATATCCTCAGTAATTGCTAAGTGTTGTATGTTTTATAGCTTTTTCTCATTCATAAGATTATTAGAAACTTTAATACAAGTATATTGGCTTGGAGCCACTCTTATAGTAAACAGATACAGGATTATTTAAAATACTGCAAAGCGCACCAACCTTAATCAGATATTTAAAACTGTTCATTTTAAACATATTTGCTGGTACCTATACAAGTCTATTAGCACCATACACAGTGGGTTAAAGTATTCTCTCAAAGATGACTTAGCAGTTATTTTATCTCTAAAAGGTACACAATTAAAAGAAATTTACTGGGGGAAGTCATGTGTTTTTATCTGGCTAAATTTAAAACATGAAGATAGGCAAGCCTGCAGGAAATAGCTTCGCATTCCAGCTAAGAATCTTGCTAAACATCCACCATTTGGTTAAATTCCAAAGCCACATTAGTTACTTCTGTAAGAGATCACAATATATACATTTACAAAATGAAAGTATAGGTAAAAGGAATGTATACATATGTAGTCCATAAACACTATATGCAGAGCCGATGAAAATCATTGCCTCCAGATGCTCTTCAACAGCCACCACACCACCTGTCCTGCCTCTGTCGTAACAAGTAGTAACATCATCACTTAGGTTAGATAGTGGGGTGGGGGTGCTGTACAATATGAACCCTAACCTGTGGGGTTGGGAAGTATGTTACAGGATCATGGTTAGACACAACAAAATACACTGGTGTTGAAAATCTATGCTTTAGCATGAATTCTGACTTTTTATTCAGTTGTATACATAGTTCATGTTTGGTGAAGAAGAAATATTTTCACAAGAATATTATGGTTTTCCTGGGCCTTTAGAAGTGGCTCTGTTAAGGGCATCCTTTGTTATCTAGGAAGTTTGCCTTCTGGATGAAAAATACTATTCCCTTCATTTATTTGTTTCTAACGTCTCATCAGATAGGTCCACACGGAGATGGGTATATACAGGTCTTCTGGGCAGAAGGAAGACAGGGAGAGAAGAAAAAGCACTCCCCTGTTTCCACGCTTACACACTTGTTAACTACTCGCCCGGCTGAAGAAACCTGTGAATGGCTTTGTAAGGAACCCGTGAGGGACAAAACACCAGCCCACCTGACTCACCATTAGAAATAACAGGAAAACATACTGTAAAAGAAAAGCAAAGGCAGTGTTCGCCTATATACAGGGTCGAACCATCAGGAAAGACCCAGACTTCACGACATTAGGGAACAGCAAGGAGCACACAGCACACCAAGTGTTCAATAAGTAGTCTTTCTCAACACACTGAACTCATCGTAGGTCATTCTGCACCTTCCTGCATGTCACTGCACCTTGTGATCTATGCTGACTCCCTCCAGTCCAGAAGTGACTGTGTTTCAATGAGTTTTATAAACTTCATTTTTTCTTGAGCACTTCTGGGCTGGAACTTCCCCTCTAAATTCCACAGATGACAAGCCTTTAATTTATTACTGAGAAAGAAGTGCCACAAATGTATAAAAGAACTCATCTTTGAGTTGTTTTCTTCCTTTCCCATGATCTGGAAATGAAGTCACTGTAACAGAGTATTTATTTTATTATCCTCAGACACCATTTCATTAACCAGCTGTTCTACAGACAACTGGATAGCATTGTTGACGAGAGAAGAGGCTGTTTCTATTAAGAGTGTCTCATATTGTTCTGAAGTTCTCCCTTCGAAATCACTATCATTAGCAAAAACCCCTACTTGCTCATTTTCCATTGAAATTAGGAATTGCTTGGGGACATTTTTAGATTTCTTAACATCAAATTCACTGATTTCAGTGTCAGTGATGATAATAGCAATTGGCTCCATTCTTTTGCTTTCTTCTGATCTGGGTTTCTCTGTATCGATTCCATTTTCTTTCAGATCTGGTGCCTGGCTCAGTGCAGCTTCCTCTGTCTGGCTCAGTTTACCTTCCACTACCTGGGCCACGGTGTCTTCCTTTGCCTGGGCCACGGCGTCTTCCTTTGCCTGGGCCACTGCAGTTTCCTCTGCCTGGGCCACGGTGGCTTCCTCTGCTTGGGCCAAGGCAACTTCCTCTGCCTGAGCCACTGAAGCTTCCTCTGTCTGGCTCAGTTTACCTTCCACTGCCTGGGCCACTGCAGTTTCCTCTGCCTGGGCCACAGTGGCTTCCTCTGCTTGGGCCAAGGCAACTTCCTCTGCCTGAGCCACTGAAGCTTCCTCTGCCTGGCTCAGTTTACCTTCCTCTGTCTGGGCCACAGTGGCCACAGCAGCTTCCTCTGCTTGGCTCAGTTTACCTTCCTCTGCCTGGGCCATGGTGGCTTCCTCTGCTTGGGCCAAGGCAACTTCCTCTGCCTGAGCCACTGAAGCTTCCTCTACCTGGGCCACGATGGCCACGGCAGCTTCCTCTGCCTGGCTCAGTTTACCTTTCTCTGTCTGGGCCATGGTGGCTTCCTCTGCTCGACTCAGTTTACCTTCCTCTGTCTGGGCCACGATGGCTTCCTCTGCTCGGGCCAAGGCAACTTCCTCTGCCTGAGCCACTGAAGCTTCCTCTGCCTGGCTCAGTTTACCTTCTTCTGTCTGGGCCATGGCAGCCATGGTACCTTCCTCTGCCTGGGCCATTGCACTCTTGTCTGCCTGGCTGACAGTAGCTTTTTCTGTCTGGCTCAATGTAGTTTCTTTGGCCTGGCCCAGCACAATTTCTCCGGATTTCTTTTCTTCAGCTGTACTCTTTCCACTTCTGTCATCTTTTCTACTTGGTGCACTTTCTTGAATGCCATCCCTGGGTTCTTCCACACTGCGTTGATAGGTGGTTGCTGGTGAGGCAGGAACATCAGAAGCCACTGGACGGGGGCTGTCTGTTTCTGAACTCCCGAGTGGACTTGCTTGCTGCGCTTGTACGCTTGGCTTTTCCTTAATCCCTTTAGTTTCCTTCTCCAGCACTGGAGTTCCCATCTGAATAGCAGAAGCCTCCTTTTCTAATTCCAGTTCTACAGAAATCACATTCTCTCTAGATGTGATGCTGTTGCTGACATGCGATTCTTGGGCCTCCTTACTGTCCACCAACCCACCTTCCTGTGGGCCCTGTATGGACTTAGCTTGGTCAGTTGACTGAGTCTGGGTTTTTGTCTCCAAATCCTCAGCCCCTCCTTGGACTCTGAGGTTGTAGTCTGAATCGTCTGTGAGTTTAGAATGATGACCTCTCTTTGCCCCTCTTGAGAATCTTATGCAAGGAATCTTGAGTCTGGATTTTGCCTTTTTCTTAGGAAGAGCCGAGTCCTCGGGCTGTACTTCAGCCTCAGATGGCTTCTGCTTCTCCGAAGACCCTGACCTTTTCCTGTGTGTGACAAGGCGTTTGATGGAGGCCCAGGCCCCTGCTGGCTGTGGCTGATCAGAAGCCCCAGCTTCTGGGGGATGCTTTTTTGTGGCCTCAGCAGTTTTGGAACCAGATTTAGGTTTCATCTTGTTTGCTTTCTTCCTTCTCTTGAAGCAAAGAGTGGCTGGTTTTCTCTGCTGCCTCTCTTCCTGAGGACTAACAGCTACTGGCCCCTTCTCATCCTTAGTTTCTATCTGAATCTCAGAAACTTTGGTCTCCATTTTTACACTACACTCTTTCATTCTCTGGGAAGTGTCTTCTCTCTTCCTCTTGAAGCCTTTTGTGACAAAAATATCACACCAAGTCCAATTTCTCCTGGGTGCCTGCCCTGCTTTCACTCCACAGTTGTTTCTATAGCTTTTTCAGGACATAACTGCCTTGTTTATCTGTTGCTTATGATTCTTCCTTTATTTTCCCCTTCGAATGAAAGCTCTTTCCTGGATAAAATTCGCCTTTATTCAAAGATCAACCTGATAAGAGAAAAAAGTGGGGTTATATTTCACCACGAGCCTATTATTTTTAATATAACTTACGTTATATGGGGCATATGCCCTGTGGTACATACCAAAACAACCATGGCTTCAAATTGAGGCTTGCTTTTGCCCTATCAAAAAAGCTTCCTGTGTGAACCCATTTTGTTCTATTATTTTTGTTAAAACTTTGTTTGTGGTCACTCTGCAAGAGTGCCCTGGTCCTTAGTTGACTTCTCCATGAATTTTATAGCCCCACATAAAAAGTTTAACAAGCAACAACAACAAAACAACAGACTGCAAGTGATAGGGCAGCGGGACTCCTTTCTCATCACCTTCAGTGAAGAACTATGGCATTGCTAAGGACCTGGGAGATGACTCAAGATTAATCAAGTCCAGCCCAATGACGAAATTGAGCTCCCCAGTGGGTAATGGGCTTGCAGAAAGCCTTAGGCTAGATGAGGTCCTAGCCAGAGTCAGAAGTACAAATTTTGACTCTCTGGTGTTCTTTCTATTGTAGCATACGGTTTCCGTTCTAAAATTGTACATTCCATCAAGGAGGTGCTACTTTCCATACAGACTCTCAGAAAAACCCAGCATTGCTCAGACTGTCGTTCTTCCATCTTAAAGTTGTTGTGTAACTTTGACATTTTCACCGAAGTGTCTGCTACTCACACTTTCCCACTATAACTGCACACAGCTGGAGGTTAGTGAGGTAATAGCCAACACTGGTTGTGCAACTCCTGGGTATGAGGCGGCGCTAAGCACTTTCTCATGCATCTCTAACCTGCACCACAGTATCCCAGAGTGAGGAGGTGGTGAGATCTCCATCTGCAGTTAAGCAGCCTGCCTAAGATTAAAGCTAGTCAGCCTTAGTGCTCAGGTTTAACCTGAGGTGCCTGCTTCTGAAGCCCACCTGCTTCTGAAGCTCGTGATCTGACTTCCATTTGAGGCTGGTTTTGGTGGTGCACCAGGCAACACCAGCATGTGGGAGGTGGAGGCAGGAGAACCAATCAAGGTCATCCACAGCCATATAGTGTATTTGAAGCCAGCACTGGTTACCTGAGACCCTGTCTCAAGAGAAAAGAATATGCAAAGCTAAGCTGTGGGTCTGGGTATATAGCTCAGGGATAGACCGTTGGCCTAGCCACAAGGTCTGAGATTTGATCCCCAGTACCACCAAAAAATAACGATCTACAGAATGGAATGGATTTTAGTTGGTAGACATCCTAAGTTAGGCAAATTATTCTGCTTGCATGGAAATTCTGTACTGTGCTTTCATTTGGGTGCATTCATATCAGCTTCTAATTCTCTGTAGGATTGGAACCCTGAAAAATCATTTTAAGATATAAGGAGTTTTTTTTTTTTTTAAAGGTAGGTATTGCACGTTTCATGTTTCTACACAGAAACACAAAATTCTAGAATAATGACGGAACCCACACCATTTACAGTCTCTCCTCACACACCCTTTATAAGCACTAGAACCCAGTGTTAAGGTCCCCAAGCCTGAGTGAGCATTCCTTCTAAGCTATCGATAGAAGAAATATTCAAATGCAATCATATTCCGGAAAGTATCTGAAACTGACCTGAATGGCCCAGTGTTTGCACAAGAGGCTTCTTCGAATGTAGAAATCAACACCCCAACAAGTGTATCCGAGGCAGGGAAAGGATGCAGGCAGCAGGCGTTAAAACTTTGCAGACTGTTAAGACTGCAAATGATTCACCTTTACCTTCGAGAGGAGCTCGATCACCTTGGAAACCTTAACATCCCATTCCTGCTGTCCTTCGCTGGCAGAATCTCATGTCTAAGGCCACAGAAAACAACCACAACCCCCTTCCCATCTTGAGCAGCAAAGAGCAATCACTATCCAAGCAGAGCAAGCAGCCTTTCCCAGCACCAGACACGAACCGCGAAGCTTCCTCCTGGAGGAAGGACTCTATCCAGGCTTGACGCTCCTGTGGTAGGAGACAGGGCTCAGCATAAAGTGCTCAGAAAGGAAAATACCGGGGGCGTGGAACAGATAGCCCGCAGCTTCAAGCTATCTGCAGAATTATCATAGACTGGAGCCGAAAATCACAGTTCCCCAAAAAGCCCAGAAGAAGGAAAAGGGCTAGGTAACCGGTGCCAAGGCGCCAGCTGCACCGCGTGCGAAGCGAGCGGAGGCAGAACTGCCCAGGGTCACCCACCTGGAGACGCCTGAGGACCAGCGACCTTGCAGTCCGCGCCTCTCGTGTCTGGTGACCCGGACCCCGGGTCTGCTGCCGTCACCTTCCCACTAGGGGCTCAGTGCCCCCGATCCTCGCCCAAAGCCTCTGGTCCTGCCTCCACTTACCCAGAACGTCACGGTCTCTGCTCAGCCCCGCTCCCGAGGTCGGGGCTCACGGGCCCAAAAAACGAGGAGCTCCGGAGGCCGCGGAGCGCGCAGCCCTCTGCAGAGGGACCGCAGCCGCGCGCCCCCTCCCCAGTGCGGAGAGACACAGCGGGTCCCGCCAATGCGAGCGGGGCAGTGGGGCGGGGCTAGGCCCGGGGGCGGGGCTAACTCAGCCACCCACCTGCCAGCAGACTGCCCTGCCGCCGGGGAGAGACCTTGGTGCTCCCGCCCAGTACGCATCCCCGCTGCATAATGACATCAGGGTCTGGGTAGAGGGGCCAGTAAGGCAGAGCAGGAGGACCACGAGGATAAGAAGGTAGAGGGCCCCTCATTTCCTGAGACGCACAGCCACAAAATCCCTGTTTGAAATTATAAGGTGCTTCCCCCCCTTAAATTTCCCTCGAACATTAAAGACAAGGTAGACAGCATGTCTTCAAAGAAAGATTGATGGGGTTGGTAAAGATGGCTCAGCTGTGAGCAGCGCATATTTCCTCTTCCAGGTCATTCAAGTTCGATCCCCAGTACCCACACCAGGCGGCTCACAGACACCTGTAACCAACTCTACAGGGACATTTTGCTTCGGTGGGCAAAAACATTCACGTGCACATGCCTGTTCTCCCCCCATAAACTAAAAATAAAATTAAAAAGTAAGATTCGCAACCGTACAGAGTCATAAGGGGTCATCTGGAAAAAAATATTTTGAGACAGGACCTGGAACTCACTAAGCATACCAGGATGGCACCCAACCTACGAGTTCCACCCACCTCTGCCTCTGGAGCCACACCTGGCTAGAGAGAAAGTTATCTATATGGTCAGAAACAGAAACGAAAACAACTGTGTCAAACAAGACCCCAGAGCTGCAGAGGCCAAACTGAGATCTGCTGGAGAGATGTGGTCATCTATGTTGACCGAGCACAGGTGAGGAGCGCATAGAATATGGCCCATCTAACATCTCACATCGGAAGCTCGAGTGGATTACTGCTTCCTTTAGCATGCCCTGGGGACTGCTCACCTGTTCCTCTCAAGCCTGAACAGAGATAAAGGGTGCTCACCATTCCAGCTCCATTCGGAGCAAAGGATGTTGGCATAACAGCACACACTCTGGAGCAGGAAGGTGTCACATGGGGTGGAGAATGGCACACATACATTTCTGTGCACACAAGGTGTGGCTTCCACAGCTCAGGACCAGTGGCTCGGGGTGTTTTTGAGAGCTTCAGCTAAGGTCCTGTAAATGACACCTCAGCCTCCTCCAAGGCTTTTCCTAGCACAGAGCTCAGGAGCCCCAGCATTGTGGAAGCACAAGACCCCATTCCCCTTTCGTGAGTGGACCAAGATGTCTGGGAGGGTTAATCTCAGACGACCACTTGGGGATGGTTTTTCTAGGAATATAGTTTCCCTCCCTAAGTAAGTCTAGACTTACTCCACCAAGACTTGATAAGGAATAAACCCTTGGAACACAAAACTGATATGATCTAAGTTAAGTTTGTAGATTAAAAATTAGTGATAAGAACCGTCAAAATAGGAAACCCAGATACAGTCAAGCTGTAAGAGTTTGAAGGAGGGAACTGCAGGGATGCTCAGAGGTTAAGAGGTCTTCCTGACTGGCAGAGGACCAGAGTTCAATTCCCAGCATATTTCAGGTCACCCCCAACTGCCTTTAACTTCAGCTCCAGGGGATCATACACCCTCTTTTGGCCTCTACAGGTACAGGAGAACATTCGCACAAGCACATGAGCACCCCCCCACACACACACACAATTGACTGAGGGAGCTGAAGATGTCGTTCAGTTGGTATAGCATTTTCCTGGAGCGCACAAAGTCTGGATTTGGACATGGTAAATCATATGCTTGTGATCTCGGCACTTAGGAGGGAGAGACGGTAGGATGAGACTTTCAAAGCCATCCTTGGCTACATAAGGAGTCTAAGGCCAGTCTAGGCTACATGAGACCTTGTCTCAAAAAACAAAATGAACTTGATTTAGCCTTGTTCACCCAGCAAACATAGACGAGTGAAAATGGTCTTTTTATTCCCATGTAGGCCATATGTTAGCCCTGTCCCTGGCTGTTTTGAACTTGAAATAAGCTGGAAGAAATATGCCACTCAAGCAGCAGAGGTGCTATAACGAAAGGTTCACCAAATCCTGCAGATCTGGGAGCAGGCAGTCACTTCAGGGAAAGAAGAAAGAGAAGGCTGATTCAGATGAGGATGGGGTAGCATGGCTGTGTTATCAGAAAGCACACGGAGCCAGGTGTGGTTGTGCAATCCCAGGACTTGAGTAGTTGAAGCAGGAGGGTGGCATGTCCCTAGCCGGGCTACATAGCAAGACCCACTTAAAAGAAAGAAAAGAAAAAGCATTGGGAAATGAGAGATGCAGGCTGAAACACCAGCAATTAAGAGAATCTTAGAAACTTGGAGCTCTCCTACTTGCTTTGTTCTTAAAAAGGAGCTGAGCACAGTCTAAGAGGTGGGTTTATCTTCTATTCTAATATCTTCTATTCTAAGGGAAAATATGATTTATATGATCAATAACTTACCTGGCATCTCTCTCTCTCTCTCTCTCTTATGCACACACATACCCAGGAGAGACTATTACTATAAATAAAA